GGCAAAATTTTCACGCTTTACAACCAAAGATTAATAAGCAACTGAGGCGTATTAAAATCTCAAAAATAAGCTGTGGAAAATTCCTAAAATATCGGCTACATCTTCATTTCTTCACACTAGATACTAGTCTTCTGAGAGACTTTGTTTTGTGCTCAGTAAATGACCATGTATTATCAATGACAAGTAGTAGAGGTAGTATGTTTAGGGTTGTTTCTTACCACTTGTGGTGTTTGGCGCATTGTAACAACCTTAGTGATAACTTCACTGTCAAGGGCTGATCTAAAAAAACACGAGTTCAATACAGGTAGTTTTTAACTTATACAATTAACCAGAAGCATATCACCTGAATTAACAAAGTGACATCTCATTTCTTGAGGTAAGTTTGTTTTCTTAATACAACCCTGGTCACTACTTCTATGACACTTCATGTCGTGGTACGGAAAACCTCATTTTGGCTAGCACTTGTCTAGCAATAATTAGTATCACCCAACTAGTGGACTAATAAAAATCCTGCATTTTAAGGTGGCTCCCTATAGTTTTACGACCGCGCGAGCGCTGAGGAGGTAATCTGCGCGCGCTCAAAGGAAAACGTCAGTGTTTTTCGATATTTTATTACGTCAACATGAGCACAAAAAGCAAATCTGACAGTGAATTTCCTCGCGTTTGCTTCGGTGAAATTCCGCAAAATTTGGCAGATTGGTAGCAAATATTTTACTTTAGTCGGAGCTCGTTTTTCATGGAAATCTATACGACCAGATTTTTTGCAGCGGTAAAAGACATGAATTTAAAAATATCGAAAAACCTGCCTTTACAAAACTCTACTTTTTTTCGTGTTTAAAATTCGTATCCCACTGGAAGCGATGTGATGTAAAAATTTTGGAAGATTTCACCGAAGGAAATTCATGAAAATCACAAATAAAGCCATAAAAACAGTAAAAAACACATTTGTTTGGGCATTTATAATTCAAGACTAAATCCCCAGATTTTAACAGAGATTATAGCAAAATACTATTTAATCATTGCTTATTACATGTAATAAGTTTGAGAGGACTAGATGTGAAAGCGAAAAAAACAGCATTCAAAACATAACACTTGCGCGCGTAACGCCATAAATGATTACCCTATGGAGACACCTTAAGCGTGAATGCCGGCTAATCGACTTCTGGTTGGAGGCTAACCGGCTAGGACTGATCGAATTGAGGACTAATCGACCGGCAACTCCGGTACCAATTTTTACGCTTCGGTGGAGAAAGTCATGTCCAGGTCTCGAATCCGTAGCACTCTATCTGGAGTCTGGCGCACAAACCATTCAGCCACCGTATCTCCAAATCGATACAATCCGAAATCTCGTACCTCGAATCCTCGCCAACCTGGGCTTGTGTATGTTTTTTACTATGACCATGTGCACGCGGCTATTCCGACCGACAACATTGAAATGGTTTTACAATGTAACCTATCAGTAAAATAGCGCGTCCGTTTCGCCACCAAACGTATTAAGTCAGTAAGCAGTGGCCAAAAGATTTCGTGAGTAGACACAAGTTGAAAACCTGTCTCTACGTGCGACTATGATTGATAGAGAACAGAAACTAGATTATATATTTACCTTGCCAGGCGCAAGGTCGTTAAGACCTAGCAAAGAAAGCTTGTCATCAGGCTGAACCTTGTCATAGTCAGCTGAATCAGCAAAAGTCAAAGGCAGGAGTCCTGCGATAAAAAAACGAAACAAGATGTAAGAGCAGAGCGACTGGCCAAATATTCACATTTCCTCACACGTGGACGACTCCTAAGTTCACATATAAACTACTGCTGCAACCGTTCAGTTGTCTCTGAAATTACCAGGAATTTCGTTCCGTGAAATCAGGACTTTAGCTATTTATCACTTTCATGTTTACAAAGGTCAATTAACCGCCGTATCGAGTTTGTAAAGCTCATGTTTCGAGAGTTGGCCCTTCGACCAAACAAAGTACTTTGAAGCAGAAGTGTAACAGCTCTCGTAAGCTTGTAATTCTCTTCATTGTTAGCAGCTGTTATTGTTTTAGGGCTAGGGGCATTGTTTCTGTTGTTTGTTCTATTGTTCTCTCAAAGGGTATCAAGCCATTCATATCAGACCTTACGAGAGTTGCTACATCAGCCCTTTCAAGAGGAGCTAACACACCAAAACCCCAGCTTCACAAACTCACTACGCCGGTTAATTTACTCTTATCAACTTCAAGTTGATGCATAGCTGTAACTCACATGCCGGCCGACCCAGCCCAATAGTTTCTTTAGAAAATAATATCTTGGTTCATTATACCATAGTTAGTCCCCTCTACTAACTATGATTATATCGAGACCGCTCACTCCCATGACAAAGAAGATATTTCACCATCGGGAATTAACTCTTAACCTTCAACTCATTCCAGTCAAATAAAGCTTGTTCCCTTTTCTATCACTACACGCCCTTTCGTTTTTGGCAATGGAAGACAGGGTCGAGGATAAAACGACAGGGCAAAATTGACTTAACTCTTAAATCGTTTAAAAATCTACATACTTGTTTCTAAACATCACTGAGTTTAAGGATTAAGGTCATGTATACTTACCCTGTTTCTTCAAATTCGTTTCTGAAAAGAAACAGTAGAAGTAAGTGGCAATATTCCTCAGTTGTAGATACATTAAGTGATCATTATTTACCGCTAGAACGGTTTTCAATCGAGTGTCGTTAAAAGTAGAACACATTTGCTTTGATTTTGCACTGCTTCGTTAAGCCTTTGTAATCCGATAAGTCCAATCGTGACCGGTTTACACAGGTTTTCCCGCGTTTCAGGTTGATTTCTTGTATTCGTTTCGGGAGTACTGGCCCTCAAACAGCATGGCCTCGGATCGACCCCAGGACCCGACTTCACTTGAGTCTGTTGTTGAGTCTTGTCCCTATTCCAAGGGTTTTTGTCCGAGTTCTTCGGCCTTCCTCCCTCCACGAAAACCAACTACCCAAGTTCCCAATTCAATCTTGATAAGCGTACACTTCACAGAGCTCTAACAGGTTTCGTGGGATTAACATTAGGCTAGCTCCGTCAATAAGTCATAGGCATAACACACGCTTCTCCTTGCCTTTCTCAACACCAACAACAAACATACCATGGATTCGTGCAAAGCTCTTAACAATGATTGCTCGTCCTCCAAGATGTCTCGGCTCCAGAGCTGCATGCTCTCTACTGCTTCCCTCACCGTAGTTCTCATCTCCGACTGCAACCCACTTCACTCCTTTAGCCTAAAGAAAAAAGGGTTTAGGTAAAGCTGTAACTTTGACAGGACTACGAATAATACCACACTGTTACGGACTCTCACTGTTAAGTACGTTCCTAGCCTCCTTCGCAACCGTCACGCAACACTTTCTATGCGGTAGAAGCGTTGTGTGACCACCAAAGTAACGGCTACGCAGGAAACTCGTATGTCCCAGGCTCCCAGGTGATAAGTGGGCAGAGCGGAGATCATGGTCTTGAGAGCTTGGAGAGTTTAAGAGGCTGTCTCTGTAAGAACCGACCACTGATTTTACTTCGAAAATTCGATTTTTCTCATAAGCTGGGATTTCGAAGCCCTTACCTAGTCAATC